GGGGAACTCACGCAGCGTCAGAAAATAAAACCCTCTCTCTTTTCCTCCGTACCCAAATCTCTAAAAACGGGGGAACAACGGAGCTGATCCAGATTTGCGTCCGATATGACGTAATATCTGAAATGTGGACCCACGGCCCAATCAGAAACGTTGCTATCAGAAACAATGCCCGACTGTTTTGGACGTAATATGGTCGGTGTTTACATTAGCATCGCTAACACTCAGAGCTAACCTGTACTGGAGAGCATGTGTGTGAAGAAGCAGGAAGTAAAAAGGAACTCACCTTGTGGTATAACCGGCAAGAGAGAAAGCCTTTGAGCTCCATACTGTTTCAGAGAGAATCCTTGATAATCCATGATATGGCGTTTCATCACGGCAGTATTTAGTTTAGACAGTAGCTGCCGGGTCCCGCATGAGCTCAGACCCCTCCTCTTTTATTTATTTAAAGCTTTATACCCAGAATCAGCACTTTAGAAACAGGAAGTGAAATAGAGGGATATGATGCATGACTAGAATGGGTGATCTGTTTGGTATTTTGAGCAAAACACTTCATAGACATGTTTTTATATATCTGAGACCTATGCTATTGCCTAAAAATAGCATGATAGGTGACCTTTAAGTTGGCGTTTTAACTCTGGGAGGTCGATTAGAGTTTTTCTTACTCTTACAAGGATATCTCCGGAACGGAATATAGTTTAGTTTTATCGTCAAAGGCTGAACAAAGCTCAGCTCCAGACCTTTTTAAACACTTTGCAAGGCGTTCGTACCAATTTCAGAAGATTTACAAGCTGTCTTAGGAAAACAGTGTTTTTTTAGAGGCTTCATGAAGCTTATAAACAGACAATGGATGTTACTGGATGTATTTTATGATTATTTATCCGTGTTGAAAGCAGTTTTAGGCGTTAGATAAAGAGTTTAGATATCATCTTCAATCCCATGATGCATTGCATTGAGTCTTTCTGACGAATCAGGGCTTTTTTCTGATGCAATGACTGTTGAAATATTTATTCAGAGGTGCGCTGTCTGGAGACAGATGGACAAACAGCTGATTTTGCGACATTGTTTATTTCATTTTTACTTAAAAAATATGGCGCAAGATGCAGATATGGTTAAGGGGAAACCCTCACACACTTATTTTGCAAATTAAACATGATTAATAAAACAAAACAGAACTGATCAAGCTGAGGATTTGCTGAAGGGGACCACGGCCCAGGGGGTGAACTGGGACCTCTCCCAGTAGCAGTCCACACTCCATATTTAGGTCTGGTCGGGGGGGACTTGAACCAGCAACCCTACGGCTCACAGTCCAAACCCCTACCGACTGAGCCACTATAATAGACAGGGGCTCACATAACTGGTACGCATGCGCGGCAAACATCTGAAATGCGTACCGTCACTTGTGTCACCCGCGCACACACTGGAGAACTGCGCAAAATCAGCTCGCAGTTCACTAGCACCCCGTCCCCCGTCGACGTTCGCGACACAGAGGGTTTCATCACATAACTTTGCGTGGGGCCACAAGTTGGAGTAGCAAACACTGTCTCCTGGCACTCATCTGAGTACCTCACTAAGAAAGTTATATGCACCCCTGATAATAGACTAACATACAACTACTAAAGAAATGTAAAGCACAGGATGTATACATTAAAAAGTGGGAAACGTAGTTGTCTTGTTGTTAACAATTTTTATGCAATGAGGTCAAGTTTGAGTAAAATGTGTACAAATTGTTCAGGGTTATCTAAGGGAAAGCTTAATTGAACTCTGTTTCTACCTTTTTAATTTGTTACCTGCTGTCTGATCGCTTTAACTTTTGGATGCATGGTATTCAGACTATAATGATAAATTCCTACTGACCCTGAACCCCCCTCTGATGTCCTTCAGGACCATCGTTCCCTGGAGGACGTTTCGTCAGGCGCTCCACGAGTTTCACCCCATCAGCTCGGGGTTGGAGGCGATGGCTCTCAAGTCCACCATCGATCTGACGTGCAACGACTACATCTCCGTGTTCGAGTTTGACATCTTCACACGCCTTTTCCAGGTAAACACTTTGAACCCCTCACCGATAATCTGTAACAAAATGTTTATCTATTTCAGCACTGAATCCATTCTTCCTGTCACATTTATACATGTATACATTTTTTGAAATGACTAAATTGGTAAAAAAACTGCAGACTTCTGGACATCCTAAAATAGGAATTGGGCATTATAGCTTTTCTGTGTGTGTGTGTGTGTGTAGCCATGGTCGTCTCTTTTGAGGAACTGGAACAGTCTGGCGGTCACACACCCCGGGTACATGGCCTTCCTGACGTACGACGAGGTGAAGGCTCGTCTGCACAGATTCATACACAAACCCGGCAGGTGAGACACAAATATCATATTCTATTATTACGACATAAAACACGTGAGTAAATACCCCACTGGTGACTTTAAAAACTGTGGTTGCTAACAAGTGTCTAAATGAGATGACTGAACGTCATCACGCCCAACATTAGCCTTTAGCTTAGCGGTGGTGACGTGAAGTCATGTGACCGTGCTGTAGTTCCTTTATAGCCCAACATTAGCCACCTTTAGCTTAGCGGTGGTGACGTGAAGTCATGTGACCGTGCTGTAGTTCCTTTATAGCCCAACATTAGCCTCCTTTAGCTTAGCGGTGGTGACGTGAAGTCATGTGACCGTGCTGTAGTTCCTTTATAGCCCAACATTAGCTTTTTACTTCAGAAATCACAACGTGGTGTTAATATCTGGAGATTATCCTGCTGATCTTAACTTGTAGGTATTGTTTGTAATGTGTTTTTCTCGTCTCCTCCCTCAGCTACATCTTCAGGCTGAGCTGCACTCGGCTCGGTCAGTGGGCGATCGGCTACGTGACGGCGGACGGGAACATCCTGCAGACGATCCCTCACAACAAACCCCTGTTCCAGGCTCTCATCGACGGATACAGAGAGGGATTGTGAGTCCGACTGCAGCACAGAGACAATTTAGCAAGTCTCACATTATAGGACACATCAGTACACTAATGATGGGTCCAAACATATATGAGAGTGCCACAATGACTCCGGAAAGCTGTGTTGTTTGTTAATATCTTAGGGAATCCTGCAGATGAAACTTTACCAGAAAAACAAATAGAATATTCTGCACGAGGGAAAACTCTGACGTTAAAGCGATGAATGCATGTTAAAAATAATAAGAAAGAAACTTAAAAAGGGGAAGGTGTGTCAGGGACCAACATCAAGGTTAGATTAAACTGGAAGTGCCACGTGCGCAGTTTTGTGAGGACTCTTAATCCGATTGCAAAGTATTATTTGATGATGTCATCCTCTACAGGTGTAATGCATGTGGTGTTAGAGGGTTTATCCAGCTTTGCAAAGGGAAGTAATGTGGGCCTTAAAGAAAGAAAACAGACCTTTAACTATTAGATTTGTCTTGCAAATGAAGAACTGAGTATTCTGAAATGCTTCTCTCAGTTTATATAATATATTATATACAGTATATATTTTATGTATTTTATATATTTGTGTGTGTTCTCCAGCTATCTGTTCCCCGACGGTCGAGCTCAGAACCCGGACCTGACGGGTCTCTGTGAGCCGTCTCCACAGGACCACATCAAAGTTACTCAGGTTTGTGGACCTTAACTAAGTACTTTACTTAAGTTCAATTTAAAGATCTTGTACTTTATGTTTAGTATTTTAATGTCCTTCTAATTCATACCTGCACTGTACGTTTATGGAGCTTTTATTTTTGAAAAACAAGCCTCCTTCTGAGTATCATTGTGCTGAAATGTGCAACATCCATATAGTAAATGTTAACAACCAATACTTTCAAAATAAAACGCCTCCTCTCCCTCTCCCTCTGCAGGAACAGTACGAGCTTTACTGTGAAATGGGTTCCACGTTCCAGCTCTGTAAGATCTGCGCAGAAAATGACAAGGACGTGAAGATCGAGCCGTGCAGACACTTGATGTGCACTTCCTGTCTCACCGCCTGGCAGGTGAGAACACATTCAAGATTTCAAGGCTTTTATTGTCATTTGTACAAAGCTACAGTGTAGATAGGGCAGAGAGGGAACAAGTACACACATCCTTGACTCAGGTAGAAGTACAGATACTCATGTTTAAAAATACTCTGGTGAAAGTAGAAGTACTGACTAAACTTCTTTACTCAAGTCAAAGTAAAGAGGCTTTGAAATGTACTTCAGTAAAAAGTACCCATAACTAGCAGCTGTTTTAAAGAGTACCTGACCTCCCTTTATATTAATAGAACAATAATGTCATTGTTAGCTAATGAATGTTTCCATGGTGAACAACGGCAACATGACAACGTTTCCATTGGTCCCTCTTCTTTAGAGAAGACCAGGAAATGATGGATACACGGATCGTGTTCAAATCAATAGGCACGCAATGACTCTAAATAATAATGATCACGCCACCAAACACACATTCAGACTAAAGGAACCAGCCTGTTTGGGAAATGAGAGAAGTAGAAAGTACAGGTATTTGAGTTCAACATGTAAGAAGTAGAAAGTACAGGTATTTGAGTTCAACATGTAAGAAGTAGAAAGTACAGGTATTTGGGTTCAACATGACATGTAAGAAGTAGAAAGTACAGGTATTTGTGTTCAACATGTGAGAAGTAGAAAGTACAGGTATTTGTGTTCAACATGTAAGAAGTAGAAAGTAAAAAGTCGTCAGAAGAATAAGTAGTGGAGTAAAGTACTGATACCAGAAAAATGTACTTAACTACAGTAACTAAGTATTTGTACTCCACTACTACTACTTCCCACCTCTGAAATATATCAATGACAATTTACAATCTGAGGTCACA